GTGTTGGATGGCTTCTGCAGTCGAGACATACGCGAACGGTTTGGGGTCGGTGTTGAAGATGCCCTTACAAGCCTAATAACGGTTTCTCCTCAAAACATCAAACATGATCCATAACTTTTCACAAGATAAAATAGAATTAAAAAAATGAAAGACCTTTATTGCTTTCGGCCTCAGAGGAAAGATGATTGAAACAACAAGTTGAGCACAAATTGTCAAGAAACCCACTATAGCTTTCTTCGCCATGGTACTGAGGAGATAAACATCGGTCGGCTGCATCGGCGAGACCATAACCGAGGAACAAGAAATAAAGGGGGATCTCTCAAGCTCAAACAGAGGAACATCAATGGCGATAAGATTATTCCATCACGGATTCACGGGAAACTTACTTCCTTTGCAGGCGCGCGCGGCCGCTCACTTGCGGAGGAAGCTGAGGATGCGCTCCTGCAACTCGATCGCTTTCTCGGACCGCGGCTTCATGCAGTAGAAGACGTGGTCCTCGTCCATGGACTCGAGCAGCTCCACCTCGCCGCCGTAGCCGCTCGCCTTGAGGCTCTCGTAGTACCAGACGCCCCTGTCCCGGAGGCCGTCCTTCTCGGCGACGCAGACGAGCACGCGGTCGCCGGCGATGCGCGCCGCGCTGCCGCCGGCCGCCTCGGAGAACGGGTTGGACAGCGGGTCGTCGAGCCCCGGCGAGCCCGGGTAGAGGAACCGCCAGAAGGCGTCGGCCTTGGCCTTCTCCGCCTTCCCCGTGGTAGCCTCCTTGCCGATCTCCGCCGCGCCGCTGAAGTAGGGGTGCACCACGATAGTCCCCTTGATGCCGACCCCGCCTGGGAGGGCACCCTGCTCGCCGGCGCGCACGGCCATGACGTGCGCGATGGTGCCCCCGGCGCTGCCGCCCGCCAGGAACACGCGGGAGAAGTCGCCGTGGTCGACCAGCAACGGCTCTGCGCCGTCTGCCGCGCCCGCGCCAGCCGTGGCGTGGGACGCCACCCACTTGAGCCCCTCCCAGGAGTCGTCGTAGGCCGCGGGGAGCGGGTGCTCCGGCGCGAGGCGGTACTCGAGCGCCACCGCGAGGACGTTGGCCGCGGCGACGAGGCCGTTGAGGTAGTTGTGCGTCATGGGGTCGGACGCCGAGCCGATGACGTAGGCGCCGCCGTGGAAGTAGACGACGACGGGGAGCTTGCCGGCGGCGCCGGGCGGCAGGAAGACGCGCGCCCAGAGGCCGTTGGCCGGGTCGATGACGACGTCCTTGGAGACGACGCCCGTGGCGGGGTCGACGCCGGCCGGGATGGGGGGAAAGTTAAAGAACCGCTCCACGCGGCCGCTCTTGTACTGGCGGACGAGCGGGAAGAAGTCGAAGTGCACCTCGTCGTCCGAGCCGCCCGTCGCCGCCATTGGGACGAGCTAGCTGAGCTCTTCTGGTGGCGTCGCGTATTCGTCCGTGGGCTTGCTCGTGACGTCGCTCCGGGGGTTGGCTCTGGAATCTCGATCGCCGGCACTATGTAATGGAGTGGTGGAGGAACGGTGGATGCCAGATATTGGTGGAGCGAACGGTAGGTGAGGTGGCAAAAATGGCGGTACGGGCACTTTTTTATGGTTCGGTGCGCGGCAGAGCAGTGTTGGTGAGAGTGGAGATCATTGTGGGCAACTGGGCATCAAGAGGGGGGTCTTTTTCAGCGTAGCCCTCCTTCCTTTGTGCTTAAAATAATAGGGGACTGGGCCCGTGCCTTCTAGAAGACCTAGTTTTTTCTTGAGAATATTCTAGAAGACCTAGTGAAATGCTTCTGGGCGCTATATCAGGGCTGCTTTGATTCGGGACATTTCATAATAGAATTTATAAAGGATTTGGATCTTTAGGTCCTACATATCCTCTTGATCCGTTAGGATTTGAATGCTTAGAAAAAATTCAAAGAATTGGTTTGCACATTATTTTGATGGAAAATTCCATTTCACTCAAACCCTTTTTTTTACGTTTTTCTGTTTTTCATTTTTTAACACAGTACGTACGTAGATGCTCATGCATATGCATATACACACATCCCTATAAACGCACGCATGCACACCTTATCCAGATGAGCATGTCCGAGAGACTCGGCCGGTACATCATGTTCAAATTGATGAAGTCGCCACAGACGCCTCCATAATCAACCAGAACGTCTCATCCCACTGAACGCACATCGTCGGAAGACGTCAAATAAATTCAGAAAAATACGAGCATCAATGTCAAGTCTAGGACTTGAACTCTGATGGGCTAAGGATACCATTGTTCTCCTAACCATCAAACCGCGGATTGGTTAGTTTTTTTTTCTGTGGCATCAAACAATATATAGTCTGAATTCATGTGGCTTGCTATTCTGGAGGATTCAAGTGGACATGTCAATCAATCATATTTTTTTCCTACTCCTACATTTCGAAATGCCTACAAATCAAAGCGGTCTTCAAAATCCTACACCATCTTTACTTATGCCACAATTACTGCCAAGGAAACAAGTTTTCTTTACACTCCAATTCAATAGTCGTCACCCTTGTCCACGGAATCCTATTACGCGTCTAAGTCATTGGATACCGACTAAACGCGAACACCGCGGGCTATTGAACCAGCCCAGGACGAGGCAGGGCACCAATTTTTTAGTCTTTCTATCTTCCTTTTTCTAATCTTTTTTCTTCTCTCTTTCTTTTGGTTTTTACCCTTTTAATTTTATTTGAAAATTATTTTTATGTGATATATTTTTAGTTATTTTCTAAATTCACGATTTTGTTTTGAAATTTCACGACCCTGTTTTAGAAACACTCATGATTATTTTTTAAATTTATTTTTCAAAATTTTCATTAATTTTAAAATGTGCAAATATTTGTGAATGTTTTTGAATTCACATTTTTTAATACTAAAAAATCGAGAACCATTATTAAACTAGTGAATATTTGTTAAATTTCGGAATATTTTAAATTTTGTGACCATCTCCCCAAATCAAAAGATTCTAAAAATATAAGATATTATAATTAAAAATATTAAATTGATGATTTTTTAAAAAATTATACAAACATCTTTAAAATTGTGAACATTTTTAAAAATTGTGGAACTTTTTCTAAAACTTTAACAAGTTATTTAAAAAGGTATATTTTTCTTCTAAAAGTAAAAAAAATGACTCAAGAACCGAAACCCAGACATAAGCTCTAGCACTTGATCTAGACAAAACCCAAAAAGAATGAGAGAATCAAGTGCCAACCCCTTGTCCTTATAAGCTCTATTGACTAAATATAGCAAGTCTAATATCAATAAGACATGACACATAAAAAGATTTTTTATCACTGCACATTATTGATCATCATATCTAAAAGGAACTAGATATCACGTACAGGAGGAGTGAATATATTGATGATTTAATAAATTATGGATTGCGTTTTATCATAATGCGTAATTAAACTAGTTTGATACTTTTCAAACACAAATCCTAAATTAAGTTAAGCTCAATGATAAAAGGAACTAGCAAGGAGTTCAAACTCCATTCAATGTATAAATAATACTCCCTCCATTCCTAAATATAAGTCTTTCTAAAGATTCCAATATGGACTACATATGGACATTTTACTCCGTATGTAGTCCATATAGGAATATCTAGAAAGGCTTATATTTAGGAACGAAGGGAGTAGCAAGTACAAACTGCAGATCCTAATGAGAAGATAAATAACCAATATATTTCCCGGAGTTCAAATATCCATTGAAATTCTACTTTCCATTGAGGAGCTCCCTAATCACTTGTTATTATCACCAAATCACACTCAGTGTGTATAGGTTTTTCAGATCTTTAGCCTTCGGAAGCTCAGTGAAAAATCCACAACTTCGACGTTCCCGGCGGACTCCCATAACCTAGGAGTCTCCAAACTCGAAGAGAGATTAGCATGATGAGTGCTTGGAGAAGAACTCAAATCTTTTTGGGCAAGGAAAGATATCAAATCTCACTTGAATCTACTTCCTCTTACATTCCCTCACTCTCGCAAGTAAGCTGAGCTCAACCGAGTCATTTAAGAGAAGGGGTGGTTTTTGGGTCTCATATATGAATGATCTGAAGAGACCCTCATTACAGGGTGAGTGTGAGGGGTATTCGATTTTTTGTAACACTTCAATTCTTCCATATGCTAAAGTCTAGCAATTTGTTCAACTAAATGATTTTTAAACTCAATCTCCTAGCCAATTAGCAAATGGCTTTATAAAATTTCATCAAGGACATCGATTATAGTGGATAATCATTTTTATTCTCTCCTTTTGTAACTTCCACTAGTGTGTTTCGCCCATCCATGAAGGAACTATTGCAAGGTGGCTGATTCTCTTTGAGATCTGGTTTGGACAACGGAGGTTTTCCTGTCATTTTCCCCAAGGAGTGACCCTAGTTTATCGAACCCACGAGAGGATGTGCATTATGTCAAAGCCTCTACCAAGTCAAGATCATAATTAAATTCCAGTTTTTGTAGCCGGGCCTTAACAACCTTGGGGATGTAAACACTAGAATTAAAACATGCTTGGATATGAGGTCTTGATCCTTACAACCATACATTTGCGCTAGGGATCACCATGATCTTAATATGTGCTCTGGAAGACACCCATTAAGATGTGTTTGGAACGTGATGAAGTGAGGGATGTGTCCAAATTACATCTTGGCCGATGCGCGACCTACATCAAGAGTCAGTTGTCTAAACACATACCCTTACTGTATCCCGGGGTTACCTTGGTTATTAAGAATATAATTCAGACGAAAGCATTGAATGTCTAATGACTACACCTCATAAATCCCCAAGTATTGGCTTTTCTGCTACCGTACTAAACCTTTCTTTCAGTGTTATTCAGAATAGCGATGTGTGTACTCCTTGCTCCTAACCTCCGCCTTGATCGAACTTCGAGATATTGTGTACATGTGGGGGCGTAGGACGAGAAAGAGACACGAGACAACTTCGTAGCAATCAGACACATACATTATGTTAATTCAAAGCCATTCCATGGATCCCTCATACAAATACATAGGGTTCAAGAGCATTTTTTAGTCTTTCTTTCTTCAAAATTTTCCTTTTTATGTTTTTCCTTTTGGCTTCAATTTTTTATTCTCTCTTTCTTTTGGTTTTAACCTTTTTATTTATTTATTTTCAATTTATTTTTTGTTATTTCTAAAGTTCACGAACATTCTAAATTTTATGAACCTTGTAAAAACCATTCATGGTTGTTTTAAAAACTTTATAATTTTGTATATTCTCATAAATATGTTTTAAATATGCAAATATTTGTGAATATTTTTCAATTTGATTTTTGAATAATCTTAAAATTAATGAACCTTTATTAAAGTTACGGTGGACGATGATGGCGAAAGCAAAATTCGGGTAGATGGTATGTACTCCCCTTAAAAGGAGTGAGATATCCAATGCAGTTTTGATACCCAGAGTTCACGAGATAGTATTTTCCTAAAAACAAACACGAAGCTAGCATCGAAAATAAGAATATAATGAATGATGACACTTGTTATTATGTTATACCTTTGGGAGGTGCATTAAATGAATAGTGCACTAATGCATAATGAACCCTTTTGTCATGTGTAGATGGAGGAAGGAGGGGTTGCTACATGGCCGGACCGCCGAAGGGAGGGAGAAGGAGCGGCTACGACAGGGGGTGCGCCAGTGCTGCTAGTCGGGACCAGACATTCAAGCCCAGGTAGTTGAGGAAGGAGGAGGTTGCGGCGGGGGGTGGAGGTAGGTTACCCGTGTGGTGGTGGCTAGGAACCCTAGCTGCCCCACCTTCCCATGTTCCACGAGCACGCCTTTTATTTCCATTCGCTCTCTGGTGGGTATGAGTCCCTTTGTGGTCGGTTCACTTTCTCATTTTCTCAAGAGAGAAATGGATCGAACATTTTCCCACTTACTCTTGGCACAGTTGGGTGAATACCTCTCAATTTCTAGGACACAAAGGAAAACGGTTGGTTGAGAAGCTGGAAAAGTTAAGGTCAGACTGTTGCGTGAATTTCACTACAAGAAGTTGCAGCTTCTTGAGAATTTGGTTTGCTGGGAACATCTTTGATTCAGCTTTTAGCTTTCAGAACCACTGGTTGGCAGTTGAAGTTGAACCAAACACAACCTAAACACAATGCCCTGTTGTTTAGCTTAGTGGTAAGTTGGTCAGTTCATGAAACCTGAGGGGTTTAGAGCATCTACACGTGCGGTCACCAAATCCGGCCCCTCAAACGCCCACGGACGCGTCTGGGTGCGTCCGTGGGCACTGACCAGACACTTATCAAATAACTATCTCTTCATCCGAACAACTCATATGTGAAATCTTTAAACCATACAAACCCTGCAAGAAAACATCTACATAGTATGTAGATCAACTAATCCTCCACACTACGCTACTCGTTGTC